TGTGTCCTTCTGTCTGTCTGTCTTTCTAGGGTTGTTTGGTTGGGTTTTGATAGTCATAATTAGTTTTGCCATCTCTGTAACAAGACTCGGTGCTTGTACTTTTAATATTTATTTATATATTAATCACAGTAATAAACCACAACCTATAGCCCAAACTGGGGCTCTCTGGTATACATTCTATTAAAAATCAACAACAAAATTCCATAAAATACAACCATATTACAATAAGGATAGGTAGAGCAGTTTAAAAACATCAATTAAACGTGTGTTAAATAGGTGCAATATAAAATATATGCAATAAAAATTGATGATTAAAACACCTAGGGAATAGCACAGAATATGTACAGAATTCAATATGTATCCGCCTGACAGAGGTAAATCTCCCAGGTGGAAGATTCTCCCAACCTGGTGATGGGAAAGCACAGTCCATGTAATTTCTGCTTCCAGCTGCAAGGCCCGGAAAAAAGCGGGGAAAAGTCATAGGCAGACTATCCTGACCGTTTGGGACTGGGAATGAATTTCAGCATAATCCATCCTAGCTTGATTGTTTGATTTGTTTGTGCTCAGCCCTGTCAGAGAAATCAGCAAGCACTGCCTGGAGTGCACCATTTCAGCATATATGCAATTCCTCCTTGTGGGGTGGGAGAACTAGCGTGCCAGGGAAACGGACTCAATGGCGCCACCTCCATGGCATGCTATGTTTCGAAGCATGGGGAACGGCTGTGGGTTTTCTCCTTCCCATGGGGGAGTGTTTAGATGTATAGCCAACCCCCAGCAAGCCGAAATGATACAGTCTAGAGAAGGCTGTACCATTCGGTTCTGCCCATTGCAGAGCTGGCTCTAACTGCTCTGGGGCTGCGCTCTTTGCGATGTCCGTGTGGTGCGTTGTGCAAAAGGGCAGCCCGGCTTTTTCTGCAAGCAAACACACTTTTGTTGAGTCCAACTCATGATTAACATATACCAATACCAGAATACTTAGCTATCAGTGCAATTTTCAGCACTAATTATACATTCAGTCATGATAAACTGTCCGTATTATGTAAGCATGGCAATAGGAAGAATCAGATTAACACACCCTTCTCGAGCTTGGGACTTTCTGGGGGATAATGGGAGCTGGAGTTCAACAAACCCAGGTTGGATGCAAGTGTCTCTCCAAAATTAAAGTCTCTCTCTGAGATAAGAGTTTGGGTCCTGACTTGTTTGCTGGCATGCAGAGCCAGCGTGCCTCTTGGGGGCGCTTTTCCGGGGCAGGGGTGCCACCCACCCCCATTTCCTTCGTTCTCTCTAACAGGTTGCGAGCATCTGCATCATGCTGTCCGTACTTCAGCCTGAATGGGCGCAAGACTGCTTTTCGAGTGCGCGTTGCTGCGACAGCGTGAAAAGCGATCGAGCTGGGGAACAACTACTCTCATCGCTGCGCTTGACCTCCGAGTTCCATCAGCAGAGTGCGCACTGCCAGGCCTCGGCCAAGGGCACCGTCAACCAGCGATCCACCTCCCCTTGGAGATACGTGTAAGGCAGGGGAGGCCGCTTCCACCCCCTTTCTCCCCACACACCCCATAATTCCGTCTGCCACCCAACCATGCATTGTCCATGGGTGCAACTGAGGCAGGACACAGTTTTCATCCAACCCAGGGATGTGGAATCCCCAATCTGCAAGCCTAATTTCCGGCCTTTTCTCTTTGAGTTTGCACCGTTCTCAGAAAAGAGAAAGCAAAAAGGATTCTGGGTGGTGGAGTGTGTTTGGGTGAAGAATTCAGCATTTGGTTGGGGCAGGTCAGCCCTACACCCCAGTCCTATACTGGGAGAGCCTTCCCCAAAAGCTGCTCTCCAGATGTTTTGGGCTAATTGGGCTTTGCTAGTTGGGTGAGCTTTAGCGCAACAAATAGGACCAGGATGAACAAAGACACCCTATCCTAAGTGCATAATTCCAGCTAGAGTTATCTAAATATATTTATCTAAGTTTATCTTTAGTTATCTAAATTTATTTATTTAGAATTTTTGTATGTCGTCCCATCGCTTATAGCCTTGGGATGGCTCACATAAATAAATAAACATAATACAAATACAAATAAAACCCAGAAACACCGTGGCTGCACAATTAAAACCCATACATATTAACTAGCATTGTTAAAATATTTTTTAAATAGAAAGGTCTTAGCCTGGTGCCGAAAAACGAATAACTATTTCCCATGGTTCACAACCCAGCAACAACCCATGGGTTCTTTTCATGGCTTGTTCACAGTTAACAAGCCATTGTTTGTTCATGCATCTGGGTTCAGACAAAGCAATAACTCACATTTTCACCAACAGCTATTTGGTGGATTGTTGTAAACCACAATCCGGAGAACTTCTGACTAATGACAGTCCACAGTTTAAGGACGACCTACAAGCAGCCATGATGCAGCCTTCGAGGGTGACTTACCATGTCCGAACTCAGCCATTAGGAAGCACGAAAGGAAATGATTGATTTTGAAGTTTATATCATCTCCCCGCAAGACCCCCATATTTTAGGGTCAAGCTCTTAATGCCAGTGACTCATCATCAGGAGAGGGTGTCAGCTTTGTAGTTTCCATGTAGCCTGAAGGGCCTGTTCTCACCTTATCTTGGAAGCAAAGCAGGGTCAGGCCTGGTTGGAATCTGGATGGGGGAATTCAATGTTGTGAACCACCCAGAGAGCTTTGGCTATGGGTGGTATAGAAATATAAATAATAATAATAATAATAATAATAATAATAATAATAATAATAATAATAGAATGGGATGTGGGGAAAGATGGGAAGCCACGGAAGGATTGGTGATGCCGGCAGTTTCCTTGCTCATCAGGTTTCCTGGTGGGCCACCAGGGGGAGCTAGATCGGCTTTTGGGAAGGCTGGGCCAGGCCTGCAGCGCTGAGCGAAACGCGTCGCTTTGGCCGTGAAACCAAAAAGGTCAAAACCCAGCCTGAGAAGGAACATTTCTTTCTGTTGACCATACAGGGATGACTTTGACGGCACCCGGTACCCTGCTCACATCCCCCAGGCCGAATGTAACTGCATGCGCTGCATCAGTTTGAAGGTTTCTGTGGGCAACGGCGCAGACAAAACCTACACCAGCAGAGAAATTCGTGGGAACTCTGTGGTAGTCAAGCGCCCCATGTTGGTTTTCTACCGGAAGCCTTGCCTGACCAACGCTAGCAGGTTCCACCTGGAGCCGAAGTGGTACCTCGTGAACGTTTCTTGCACCTGTGTGGCGCATCACATGTAATGGAAAGGAGGGTTTCCATTATATTGTGAGGGAAAGCTGCTTAATTTGGGGTTCCCAGTGTTCTTTGGGGTGCACTTTGGACATCTTCTGGTCTCACTCTGTGGAAAGGGAGGATGGATCCTCAAAGCAAACCTGTGGCTGAGATTGAGAAAGGATGAAGAGGACGTTGTGTAATAAAATTATCAATAAAATCTTAGTGATTAAAAAATAATTATGGGGAAAGAGTGCCTCTGAGCATGTGTAATGTTTTTCTCAGAGCCTGCCACCAGCAGAAATCTAAAGTTAGAAGGATATACCATTGGGCCTGGGAGCTCCAGCACCCACATTTCCTCACCGCCCTAGAAATGAATAGCAACGTCAACACCTAACTGGGTTTAAATCGGTTTAGTTTCCCTTGAAGGTGCTGGAAGATCAGTTTGAGAAATAACTGCCACGCGAAGGGGATGCAAAGTCTGCAGCGATCCCGTTGCGTTGCCACGGGATGACCACGCGGGGTGGAAGGCCGGGAAGGACCCTCTGTCTGTGGCAGAAACAGCACCCCGGACTCCACCACGGGTTAAGGCGTGCAGGGATCCCCCTCCGCCCTCCCCTGCCAGAAGCTGCTTCCAGCTGTCCCCTTCCTCTGCCGTTCCCATGTGCGGGCCGGGGAGGGGAAAGCGCCGCAGATCGAGCGTCCCCCATGGCCGGATCCCCGCGCTCGGGCTCCTGGCGGGGCCCCGCCGATCCTTTTGGCTCCGACACGCCGCAGGTTAGGTTTCCCTCTGCTACTGTCTCTGCGTGGCGGGGCGCAAATGCACAGTCACGTGGTGCTTTCCTGTAACAAGGCTAGCAAAGCCGGCAGTCCTCAAGGAGCGCTGGAAAAACATTTGCAAGAGGCCAACAGAGGGCGACAAAGGCGGTGAAGGGGCGAGCACACTGGTACCAGAATGGTCGATCGCGGCGGAAACGGCCGGGCAAGCCCCCCCCCGCCCCGTCCGGCCTCGCCCCCGCTGGGCTTCCCTGCATCCCGGGCAGGTTCACGCGCCCGCAGCACGGCTTTTGTCCGCCCCCGCTTGCCGCACTCGTGCCAGACGCGCTGCCTTGGGCCTGCCCTCTCCGAAGACACGTGCCAATACGACTGTATCAAGATGCGATTTTATTTTCAATTAAAAATCCCTTTCAGAAAAAAGCGGCTTTGTCTTTCTTGGGCGCCCCCTGCCGGGCGCGGGTGCGATGTCCCGCCGCGCGCTCTCGCCCCCTGGCGGCGCACGTCGGCGGCGCCGCTCCGGATCGTGCTCCGCTTCCCCTCCTCCCGCGTGGAGCTCGCCCTCCCTCGCCCTCCGCGCTGCCTGACAATCGGGACCTTGTTCCGCCCGGGCTGGCCGCTCCTGGCCCCGCCGGACAAGCGCTCTTTGTCCGTGCTCGGGATGCGGGAGCAGAGGGGTCGCTGGCCGCCGGGGGCCCGGCCAGCGCGCCCTCCCGGCCGGGGCGGGGGCGGCGCGGGGCCGCTCCGGAGCGCTGCCTCCCCGGGACGGCGGCCTCGCCCCCCTAAGTGGCGCTTTCATGCCGCCTTCCCCGCCCCGCCGCCCCCCTTCCGCGGCGGGGCCTCCCAGCCCCCTCTCCCCAGCTTTCTGGCGCGCCCTCCCGCTCCGGCCCCCTTTCGGTTCCCTACGGCCGCCCCCTGCGCGGAGAGCCGGCGGGGTGCCAGGCGGGCTGGAGAGGCGCCCCCTTCCTCCGCCCGTCCGCGCCAGCAGCAGCGCTCGGGGGCCGCGGGATGGGCGATCGCGAGGAGGCGCCCGGGGGGCTGCGGGGCTTCGCCCTGGACAAGGAGTTCCTGCGCTCCCCGAAGGGGGTGCTGATGGAGGCAGAGCTGGTAACCCCGAGCGCGCCCCCGCTCGCCCTCGCCCCTCTCCCGCGGCCCCCGCGCGTCCCTCCGCCCTTGCTCGCACTTTCCCGAGTTCGCTTTTCCGTGCCTTTCTTCCCCGCTTCCCTTCCCGGGCTGCCCCCCCCCCCACCCCCGGCCCTTCCTCTCCTCTTCGGCTGGCCGCCTTTCCCCCGTCCTCGCCCCGCAGCCCCCCGGCTCCATCACCTGCGCATCTCGCTCGCGCCCTGGGCTTCCCCCATCCTTGGCGGTTTCTCGCCCTTTGCCTTAAAACTTCTCTCTGTGCTTCCCTCTGTGTCTTCTCTCGCGTGTTTCTTCACAACCCACCTCCCCCTTCCTGACCCTTCTTTCCGCTCCCCGCAGCGTCTTTCTGGGAGGAGGGCCTGGTGGGCAGACCTCTTTACTTGGTCCCGGGGACAAGAGGAATTCCTCCTTGTGGGGGAAATTCGACACCTTCCCTCAAAGGTATTCCGTAAGGGCTCAGGTGGGAGAAGAAATGGTCGTGGGCGAGGATGACAAACCCTTCTGGGGCATATTCTAGAACAAGGGATGCTGCTGTCTTAAATTAAAAACCATGACTACTACCCTGCTTTACTTTCAGGAAAGGGTTTATTTTATTTTATTGGTGTCGTGGGTGTTTCTGCCCAGTTTTCAACGGCTTCCTAATTTGCACCAACAATCTCAAATCTAGACCTAGGATGTGGTTCTTCGGATCAGCCGCACCTGCCTCAGTGCCCCCAAGCCTGTTGAACTACAACTCCCATCATTCCCAGCCAACATGGCCCATGTGTCCAGAACAATTTGTGCAGCTAAAGTGCATGTCCACTTTCTGTGTCTGACACTGGGATGAAGTGGGAGGGGTGTGTGTACTTGAGCAGGGGATGCTTTCTGTGTAGGTGACACCCCCCCCCACAGGCACCATGAGAAGAACACCTGGTCACTCACCTGTTCTCTTTCTGCCTCCCACCATGACACTCCAGGGCCTCTGCTTCCTAGTTTTCTTGCTGTTAACAGCATCCATTTCGGCTTATATGGGCGCTGCCCTGCTGGAGGTGTTGGTGACGCTGGCGTTCCTAGGACTGCGAGCGACCCACTACTACGAGCGTCTGACCCGCATGAACTGGCCCTGCCTGGTGGGTACCCCTCCTTCATGTTACCTTCCCTTCGCGGCGGTCAGCCATGTTCCCACAGCCAAGTTCTTGCCAGTTTTGCAAAAGGGAGTAGAGTGAACTGAACAGCCCAAAAGTGCATTGAAGTGCGCTTCACATGGCCATTAGACCGCAATGCGCTTCGTCTGGGGCTACTTGGAAGAATTTCTGGAGTGGGTGCAAAATGCAAAATAGGCTGCGAACTGCAGCGTGGTGTCGTGGCTGCTCCACCCCTACCGAAAGATTTGCTCCAGTTGCTAATGGCTTCACAGCTGCGATTGAGGGGGCTGCTTTGTAACTTCTAACGTACTAAAAGATCTGGTTATCTGAGGAGCTGCCCAACTCACTATGGACCTTGTCGGTTACCAAGTTCTGCAGGAGAAGCCCTTTGGAAGGCATCCCTGCTTGCTCAGCCTGGCTGATCCAGTGTGTGGGAAGGGGCTTGCTCCCAACCTGGATTTCTCGCAAACTGCAGTGCCTTCCCCGCAGGGTTTTGACTGGTTCCCACTATCTCTGTTCTCAGCAGGGGGAAGGAGCGTCAAAATCTTTTATATGTAGATGTCTTACTATGTTCCCAGTGGCTCACGATTTTTGCTTTCTGACTTTGGAACACCGCCTTGTTTGGTTCCAGAAAGACAGAGCAAAAATGGAATAAGGAAATAATACATCGACTCGTCCCAACTTTGCCTCGAATGCAGAAGTGCGTTGCTGTAGCGACTTCAAGGCACACAATGCCTCCCCTGTGTTGTGGGGACTGGGTGTTGGCAATTTGACCAGCAGCTCCCCCTGTTTGAGATCTGGAATGTGGCCATGTCAGGGCCGCTGAGCCTCATTTGGGTACGAGGTTAACCGATCCTTAATCCCTCACGGTTCAGCTGTGGGTGACCTGCCTCTCTCCCACCCAGGACTTCCTCCGCTGCATCAGCGCCGCAATTGTCTTCACCGTTGTGGCCTTCGCGGTGATCGCTGCCAGTCACAGTGGCTCCGCCGTGTCCGCTTTTGTGAGTTACCCCCTTTTCTCCAAGCGAGCTTCCTTTCCCGGCTGCACCCCCGATTAGAATGCCCCCCCCTTTTTTTAGAAAATCAGAAATATTTAAAAAACCATGTCCAACCTTGTGCCATCTAAATATGTTGGACCAAAACTCCCTGCCTCCTCAGTTAACATGGCAGGCAGGGGAATACTGGGAAGGGAGTCATTGATCTTATTATCATGTTTATAGCCTGTGTTTTTCCTGCAAGGACCCCAGAGCAGCTCACACCATCCTCCTCCTCTTCATTTGATCCTCACAAGGCCCCTACGGGGTAGGCCAGGCTGAGAGACTGCCTGGCCCAAAGTCACCCGCTGAGCTTCGTGGCCAAGCGGAGACTAGAACTCAGCTCGCCTGAGTCCCGTTCCAGTGCTCCAACCACTATGCCACACCGGCTTTTGCTGTAGTCCAGGGAAACAGAGCCTCAAGCCACACCCCCTCCCAGCCTTTTGCTTTGCTCCACCTCCTTGGCCTTTGGCCACACCCACACATGAATGTGGCCCCCGAGAGCCCCTCTGAAAGGAACGTGGCCCTCGAGCTGAAGGGTTCAGCACCTCTGCTGTAGCCCTACCCACGTGGAGGGCACCAGGTTGCAGAAGGTCGGTGTGTCGCTGGAAGGCTGCCAAGCGCCCGCCTGCCACGGCTCCCAGGCCTTGGATGGGAGGGATCTGGCCACGGATGCTGGAGGGCTCTCCTACGAACGTGGGAACAGCCACGCTCGACCTGACCAGGGTCTGAGCAGCCCGGCGTCGTGTCCACCGAGCGGCCATCCAGCTGCCCACGGGCCGACAAGCTGCTCCCCCAGCCTCGCGAGCGCGCCGCCTGGGGGACTGCACGCGTTTGCGCCCACCCCCCCCGGTTCACGCTTCTCCCGCTGTGCCTTGCCCTTTGCCAGGTCTTCAGCCTTATCCTCATCGCGGTCTTCTGCTTCGATGCCTACAAAACCTACAGGGCAGAAATGGGATCAGACCAGGGTGAGTCAAGCTCGGGGCTTGCGGGGTCCTGGCCCTGCCCAGGAGGGGGCACAGTGGTGGGGAAGATGGGCTGTGGGTCAGATAATCCAAGGAGACTCTTGTGCCCCCCAGGCAGGGTATGTGCCGCCTTCTCTCTTAAGCACAGTCTTCTGCAAGCTTATACTTGGGCGTGCTGGAGTCGTGAACCTTTCATTTGCCTAAGTGTAGCCTTACTTGAAAGTAGACCACCCGTGAGCAAGGAATTTTGGATTGCAGTTCACACAATCCCTGGGCACAGTTGCCAGCAGCAGACCCAGGGATCAGGGCCCTGAAAGCAGCGGCACCCGAGAAAGTCACGCTGCGCTTAAGTCCTATTGCCTTTGATGGGCCTGCTCTAAGGAGGACAATGTCTGGATCCAGCCCAGAAAATTGAAGCCGGGCTTGAGCAGCTGGCAGCTTTTTGGTAGCCTGAATTCTCCCTAGAAGCGGAAATGGCAGAACCGAGGCTGTCAGATTTGGCCATCCATCATGAGAAGCCTGGAGATGATTTGTTAGGGAAGTTCAAAGGCAGAAGAAGAAAAGAGACAAACGAGAGATGGATGGAGGGAGCCCAGCCTTCTGGATGAGAGTGTCCATCCTCTCTAACGCTCCTGAGCTTTCCTGCACCTTTTCCAAGGAGAAGATGGAGGAGCTGCACAATGCTTTCTAACTGCTAGTTGTTAAGAGCCGTCTGACTGGAGGGATCTCTAAGGAAGAGGCTGAGGCAGAGCATGAGGACTAGGAGATTGCACCAGAGACTTCAGGGAGGAGGAAGCTCTCAAGGAGGGCTCTGAAGGGAGGGAGATGACATCACACAAGATTTCTGGGAGGCAGTTCTAGGCATAAGAGGAAAGAGAGTCTTGAGGGCAATGGAGACCTTTTGACCTGGAGGGTGGTGGAGATGGAGAAATGAAGATCCCAAGAATTTGTGGGGGGGCAAGTTTCAGGAAGAGCAGAGAAATAAGGGGAAGGCTGTAAAGCAGAGGTGGACAGATAGCGGACTTCCATGCGTTGGACTTCAGTCCCCAGTGTTTCTTGGCTCTTGGCCTTGCTGGCAAGGGCTTCTGGGAGTTGAAGTCCCAAACATCTGGAGATCTATCTTCTGATTGCCCACCCCACTGTTTACTACAGGGAAGACTTCCCCATCCTGGTATGTCCCAGATGTTCTGAACTACAGTTCCCAGGATTCCTGGCCATTGGTCATGCTGACAGGGCATTCTGGGTAGTGGGGGTCTAAAAAATCTTTAGGGCATCAGGCTGAGGAGGATTGCTAGGGAGGTTTTGGAAGGGGAGGGCAAATGCTTGTGCCAGATCCAGGAGGGTGTGGAGACCCTAAGCAGGGAGCCAAGGACAAGTGCCATGAGGCCAGAGCCAGGGGAGCAGTGGATGATGGTGCAGGAGAAAGGGAGATGAGGGAAGGCCGAAGAGGAGGTCTGCAATAGTCTAGAGCAGTGGTGGTGAACCTCCGGCACGCGGGCCACGGCGGGCACGCAGAGCCCTCTCTGTTGGCACATGAGCCAAGTCGCCCCAGCATCACCCCAGCAGCCGCGCATCGGATAACGGCGCACATAGGAGCCATGCGCATGGTCGGAAAGGAGTAGTGGTGCCAGGCGATGATGTCATGAGCTGTGACTCATTAGCCACAACTTTCACATGGCCGGCCAGTGCGCTGCCAAGGATATAAATATATTTGCTTGGACTGGCGGTGAGTTGTTTTTTCTCGACTAAAACCTCAGTTTTCGGGTTTTGTTGCAGTGTTAGCACTTTGCGATAAACAAGTGGGTTTTGGGTTGCAGTTTGGGCACTCGGTCCCTAAAAGTTTCACCATCTGGAGTGTGCACGACCTGGGCATGGATCCCGCCAAGGGTTCAGGGAGGAAGGCTCATCCTTTCCAAGCAGACTTCCCCAGCGTGATGCTCTCCGAACATGCAGGACGACGGCTGGGCGGGGGATTCTGGGAATTTTTGCCCAGCATGACTGGAAGGCACCAGGCTAGTGAAGTCTGCTTCAAAGAATAAGAAACAAAAACAGATCTCGGCAAATTAGGTGCCTTCTAATGATCCCCTGGAATCTACCAGGGCAGGTCTCACCCAAGAGAGCAAATACCCTCTGAGTTTTCTCTTCCAGATGCGGATCTCGGCTGAGGGGACTGGCGCCCCCTGTGGGTGAAATCTTCCTGCACATGCCGCTGCCACTACCCCACCCGTCTCTCCACCTTGCCCAGACCCCATCCTGCTAAGATCAGCTGGCTGTGTTCTTCCACTGAGGGCCAAAGCTCGTGATAACCCAGACATGGCCTCCTTTTGCACCTCGCCTCTGTGGGAGTGAAAGGCCACTTGTTCCAGGGGAGACCCTCTTTATATGCCTTTTCCATTTTTCCCGTTCTACTGGAAGGTTTTGGAGGGCTTGGGCCCTGGATTAGGCGCGAGGGTGGTTGGGTATTTAACTTGCTGAGGAGACAAGATTAAAAGTGCTTTCAATATGGAACTGTGGTCTTCATTGATTTGCATAGGAGTGGAAGTGTAAATGCACACACTTGAAGCCAGTCACTCACACACACACAGATACACACCTGTGTATTGACTCATGTGGGGTGGGCAATTCCAGAAGTCGGGACCATTTTTTCTCCGCCCCCAGAACCCCTTTCGACTACTGTTGGATTTGCCGTGGGGGCGAACATCCCAGTGGTTTTGCAAGAAAATAGGCAAACAGAGCGTGCCTGTTTTGTTAGAAGCAGAATGGTTTCTTTTTTTTAACTGCTCGCGAGGGCAAAGCCAGCAGAAGCAGCCGGGAAGTGGCACTGCAAAATCAGCAATCCACTGGAAATGAAAGGTTTCCGAAAAGAAATCCGAGGAAGAAGCTGTCGTTCTCCATACTGGCCACCTGGAGGCGCCATAATACAGCAAGTAAACCCTGGTGGACGAGCCTGGAAATGCACCATTGCGTGCAGTCGCTCCATCTGGCCACTGGAGGGCGCAGGTGCTACCCGTGCTTTGCTTGGAAAACTGGATTAAGGTATCTCGCTGTACCTGCACAACTTTCTGTCTGACACGGATGGATTTCAAATTGCCATATTCTTCCCCTCTCTGGGGAGACTTTTAAAGGCATGGGGTGATCCCATACGCTCTCGGTTCAGCAGCTGGGCTATGGAAAGTTCTGGCGAGAACAACATTTGCTGTTCAACTTTTATTAAAAGCTATATTCATACTACAGCCTATGCAGAGAAAGGAGCTAGAAGCCAAGAGCTTCTTCGGCTCAGTCCGGGAGATCCACAGCCTGTCACTCTTCATCATGAAGTTTCTGGAAGAGAAAAGCAGAGAGGGTGGGGGAGGAAAAAGAGGTGAACAGAGATAAAATAAGGGAGACAGAGAGTGTGATGGGGCAATCCGAAACCCCCTTTTGAGCCCTTTTCTATCCTGCTCCGAATTGCAGGGTGAGACTGGGAGAAAGAAACCAACGTGGTTCTGTAAGTTTCCAGTGGGTTGGAGTAACACTAGGGCAATATTCCACTGCCTTTTGGAGAGAGTTGCCCCTTTCGGTCTTTTGGGGGGATTCTCCCATGTTGTCTTGCAGCGGTCAGCTGCCGAGTCTCTCCCCATCCCTCTGGTGGCCTGTGCATTCACCTTTCCTCCCACGTCGCGGCTCTTGGCCTTCAGCTTGTTGACCTGGGACTCGGCGATGTCCGCCCGCTCCTCGGCTTCATCCAGCTCATGTTGGACCTTCCGGAACTTGGCCAGGTTGGCGTTGGCCTGCTCCTCCTGGGAAGAGGACAGAAACCAAACAGATTCATTGCAACGGCAACATGTCCTGGCCTTGATCTCGCAGCTAGGTGTGCTGCTGGAAAGCAAGGAGCACAAATGTTGAGCTAAAGACACACACACACACACACACACAGAGTTGGGTCTGGATTTAGAGCAGATTAAGTGCATAGGCTGAGGTGGACCTTCTCCTCTCTCCTTGTTCATCTGGAAGGTCCCTTCCTCCTTCATTCAAGTCATAGTTAATTTGCCATGTTCTGTGATGTCAGGAAAAGGGTTTGCAGAAACTGCAAAAGGCCAGGTTTGGCTGACTGAAATCGCTTAAGGCAGCTTCCCCCAACTTCGCTCCCTCCAGATGCTTTTGACTACAACTCCCGGCATGCCTAGGGGCTCCTAGGAGTTACAGGAGGCTGGCTTATGGCCTTGCAAAACTGGCACATGAGATTTGAAGTCGGAGTTACTAGGCAGCAAAGGTCTCAGTTGCAAACCAGCGAATGCATCACAAGGCCAGTTTGCACGACGGAGATGGAAGTGTTCTGATGTATCCCAGCTTGTCCTGCAAAACATGAGATGCTAGAACGCCAGGTTCAGCAAAGCTTATTGGGATTCACAAAGGAGCGGAGGACATGGACGTCGCTGCACTTTGACCCAGTGGCTCGACCCCCTTCAGTATTTGTTCCTGGCGAGGGGAGTGGAAAATTGGAGCCCAGAGGTGGCAACTCACAGCTTCTTCCGCCTGTCTCTTGTAGGCTTTGACCTTCAGCTGCAGCTTATCCACCAGATCTTGGAGCCTCAGTAAGTTCTTTTTATCCTCCTCAGTCTACAAATGCGGAAAAATGGAAAGAAAATGAGGAGGAAAACATCACATTGCATCCCCACCCCATTCTCTACGACAGTAACACTGAACCACAGTTTCTTGTGCCATACAAACTTTTATTTAATCAATATTTTAATAAGTTTTAATATTGAATTTTATCACCATATTTTAATTGTAGCCATAGTGGGTCATTAATTAATTAATGTTATGTTAGATAATTGTATTTTATTTGTGTAAGCTGTTCTGAGGCTCTTGCAAAGGACGGCATACCAACATCCTAAATAAATAAATAAACTAACATTGTCCCCCAGATTATACATTTGTGAGTGGCTGTTAAACCAGGATCTAAAAACAGCATTTGGCATGGCTCTACAAAACACCTTTTGGACAAATTGTGTTGGCACTGAACTGGCAAACTAAGATTTGAGACTTTGCTCTGTTCTCAGAAGTCACTGTTTCAAATAAGGTCCAGGGAACCTTGGGGAAAACCACACCAACCTTTGTCTTTATGCTTTATCGTTATGTCTGGAAAATACATCATGGTTTGGAGTGCCAATGACAGCACAGACTAGGATTTGGGGTTATGTTTGAAGTAACCCTAATTATGACATTCTATAGCAAAGTTATTCTCGGTGTGTGTATACAGACCGGCTTGTTATAACAATTGGAGGTCTTGCTTATCTTCAGCCACCAGACAAGATTGCAAAAACAGAATTTTTGTGGGGGCAGCTGTGGCGCAGGGGCAGAGCCCCTGCCTGGCATGCAAAAGGTCTCAGGTTTGCGTCCCAGAAGCTCCTGGGAAGGCTGGAAAAGCTCATGCCAACAGCTGGAAAATAATTGGTACAGTCCAGTGGATGGGCTAAAGTCTAGTGTGGGATAAGGCAGCATTCTAGAGATGAAATTAAAAACATCCTGAAATTTTGCATCTTAAATCCAGTCAAGTTTGGATTGAGCATGAAATATTTATCATGTTTTTTGGAAAGTCCGGTTAAGCAACAGATCATGATGAATTTGACTGTAGTCGCAGTCTGAAATGTCACAACGCAGCTTTTTTGCTGGTGTGCAGCAGGGTCTCTCTGGGCAGGAAACTGCTTGGGAGATTCCGTGACGGAAGAAAGCCAGAATAGAAATGTGATAAAAATAGTCGAGCCAGGCCCAGCTTGTACCCCCACCCATAACCACAGTGGCTGGGTTCAGACAAGAAGACAATCCACAGTCAAGGGCTCATGTTGGTTGTCACTGAACTGTGAAACATTTTTTAATATGTGGGTTATTTCATTGTCTGGATCCAGCTGTGCTGGATCATCATGACAAGCCATGGCACTTTCTTACCATTGTTGTGTTGTATGAACCCAGTCATGGCATTTCACCAGGGTAAATTTGGTCTTTAGAAACCATGATAACAAACAACGGTTCATTCCATGCTTTCTCTTCATGGCTTGTTGTGCTGTCTGAAACCAGGATTCACAGTCCTGGTGGGCAACTACCACCGAGTCCTCCGGATAGAGTGGCAACTGTAGAAGCCACTCTAGCCTTCCAACCTCTATGTGTGGATCAATGAGGAAGAGGCAGGTGACGTAGGCAGGGAGAGAAACACCCTTGGAACTGAAAATAGGCCGGGAAATATAAACCTCGGGCTAGTTGGGATATGTAAGCAGTGAACAGGGAGGATGGAAACCACATCCGATCAGAGACCACTGGATTGTCTGTCACTTGATCATGGTAAAAAACCACGGAGCAAGGACACTGCTGCCTTGTGTGAATGTGGCCAGTATTCCACAGCTCAGGAGCTGGGTCGAGTCGCCGTATTTCCTTATTATATACTTCAGGAGTGCAGAACGTCTTCGGACCAGAGGACTACATTCTATTTCGGAGAAGCACTTGGGGGCTACACAGCAGTGCTTGCTTGGGCCAAAGGCAGAAGGGGCAGGGCCCAGACGGAAAAGCACCAGCTTCGTTCATTCAACACTCTTCCTCCCGGTTGCTAAACCTCCGTAGAGGCATTTTGGGGGTTTGGAATGGGAACATCCCGCACAAGAGGCGGGGGGATGGGAAGGGGCACGCCAGACGCAGGAACCCCAGGGACCGAGGCTGGGACCCGAAGCAGGCTGAATTCAGCCCCTGCTTGCTTGCTGTGCTTGCCCCGAGTTCGAGTCTAGAACCCAAACCCAGCGATGCTGCAGGCCCAGCCAGCCACAGGGCCCCGGTGCCGGCGCACCTGGTAGGTGAGCTCCTTGATGCGCCGCTCGCACTTGCGCATGCCCTTGACGCCCTCGGCGCTGCGCTTCTGCTCCGCCTCGAGCTCGTTCTCCAGCTCGCGCACGCGGGCCTCCAGCTTCTGCAGCTGCTTCTTGCCGCCCTTCAGGGCCAGCTGCTCGGCCTCGTCCAGCCGCAGCTGCAGGTCCTTGACCGTCTGCTCCATGTTCTTCTTCATCCGCTCCAGGTGGGCGCTCGTGTCCTGCTCCTTCTTCAGCTCCTCCGCCATCATGGCCGCCTGCCCCGCGGGAGGGAGAGGCAGGCAGTCAGGCCCCCTGCTCCTTCGAGAACCCGGACCACCCCGGAGGACCAAAAGGACGCCATGCCCGTGAGACACCCGCAGGCCCTCGTTTGCCCCCGACGGAAACGACTTACGGCCACCACGGATGCTGGCCACTGGTCGCCATAAGCTGCACACCCCCAGGGCTATTATGGGCTGCTGCTTCTTTATACCCTTCATCCCTTTTTCCACAGAAGGAAGATGCCGTCGTATTGTAGCACACCGTTAAGGTGTCCAATATGCATCACATGTAAGTAATGAGTGCTTTCCACATGCGCTTGTTTTAGGGTGGCCAGCCAGGCACAGTCCTCGCCGGAGAGCCCCCGGCCGGGACCGGTGCGCAGGCGCCTCTCCTCTCCCACTCACGTCCGTGATGGCCTTCTTGGCCTTCTCCTCGGCGTTCCTGCACTCCTGCACGGCCTCCTCCACCTCCGTCTGCAGCTGGGAGATGTCAGCCTCCATCTTCTTCTTCTGGTTGATGAGGCTGGTGTTCTGCGGAAGCAAGATTCGGAATGGCCATGAGCCGAGTTGCCAGCTGAGAGAAAGGTGGCAGGGGGTTCAAGCAGAGGGTGGGTTCACACATCATCTTGGCCATGACCTCGCGGGACGGCCCTCGCTATCCTCTGGCGGGGATGCTAATGCTGTTGTGATTTTAGTTGTGCTTCAGTGGATCTGTTCTTAATATTACATTTTCATTCGGGATGTTGTTCTTAGTTAGCATTTTATTAATTTTAGCTGCCTTGCATACCATTTGGGCAGAAATAAAATAAATAAGGAAACTGGACTACTTTTATTTTAATATTTAATATTTTTAAAATGTTGATATGAGGAATATGCTCCCCAGAGAGGTTCGTCTGGTGCCAACACATTTTCTTTTCGGCGCCAGGCGAAAACCTTTTTATTCTCCTATTATTTTAATGTCTAATTGGTTTTAATTGTGAATTGCTGGATGCTGTTCCATTTTTTATCTGTGCTTGTTGTAAACCATCCTGCGACACTAGTAATGACACGGTCAAGAAAAGCTTTAGATCAATCAATCAGTCGATCAATTAATAAGAAATACTTGATCGATCAATAATTGCATTTGCCCAACACTGGAGGAATGAAGAGCCACCTACCAAAGAGTTGATCTTAAAAAAGATTTTGGATTGTGTGGAAATGGACAGATTGACCTTGTCTCTGAAGGAGAAAGCAGATGCATATTTCTATCAAACCTGAAACTCTTTTTATTTTTGGTTAGAGAAACGGGACTTTGTGTAGATTTGAATATGGTTATTGATTGTTAAAAAGAGTAAGATGTCAACCCAGTATGTCCGATGTCTTAAATAGTTGTTGTTTTAGTGCTAGATTGTAGAAAAAATAATAAAATTTGGGGGAAAAAAACTTCACAAGATTGGTATCAGGGCTATTGGTGAGACTTTCATTCCGCATGGTATGAAAACAGCAGACAACTCGGAGTAAAAACGGCGTAAGAGACGGACTGCCCAGAGGGTTGGCGGAAGTTGCTCCTACCTGGGAGTGGAGGAGCTGGACGCGCTCGCTGGCCTCGATCAGCTCCTGCTCAGCCAGTTTCCGGCCGCGCTCGGTCTGCTCCACCAGGTTGCGCAGCTCCTCCAGCTCGGCCTGCAGCAGGTTGTTCCTGCGTTCCACGATGGCGATGTTCTCCTTCAGGTCCTCGTTGGCTCGGACAGCGTCGTCCAGTTGGATCTGGGTGTCCTGGGCAACCAAACACATGAAGGCCCAGAGTTGGTGTCTTCAGAAGGAAAGGAAACGGCCCACAGAGAAGGTCCTCTTCAGCACGGACTTTCCACCAAGGCCACCACTGGCCCCGCTCTATGCTCCATGGAGACAGGGTCCAAAGCCTCGCATTTTATTACCTTGAGGTGCATATGTGCGATCTTGAGGTGCTTTTGGGCCTCCGCTGCCACCCGATTAGCCTGGCTGAGCTGGATCTCCATCTCGTTGAGGTCGCCCTCCATCTTCTTCTTGACCCTCAGCGCCTCGTTGCGGCTGCGGGTCTCGGCGTCCAGGGAAGCCTGAAGGGACTCTACCATCCTCAGCTGGTTGCGCTTGGCCTGCTCCATCTCCTCGTCCTTCTCGGCCAGCTTGCGCTCGATCTCGGCCTTGATCTGGTTGAACTCCAGCTGGGCCCGGAGGATCTTGCCTTCTTCGTGCTCCAGAGAAGCCTGCAGAATCAGGGAATTATGAGTCAGGTGAGAGAAGGGAGGAGCAGGGGAGAAAGACGGGAGGATGGAAGGAGGCAGGCAAGCGGTGTGCTAGATATCAAGGCCATGAAGTTTTGCACTTCAGATTCGACCAGCCAGGTTTGCCAAAGGTGCTATTTGCACGGTATCCCTTTCCTCCTGAATTGCAGCATTGAATTCCAATGCATTTTCTTCTCATATGCTTTTTTAATGGGCTCTAGTGCTTTTCAGTTAAACACTTCCTGCTGCAGGTTCTGCTGCGTTTACTGCCTCATGCTGTGGTTGCCCAGGGATTGCCAACTTATGGTTGTCTGGGAGAAGTTATAATTGTATTTATTATAGCTTTCGTCCTGTTGCTTCCCTCTTTTTCTTTATTTTAGAGTGAAATAACGCTTTTGCTGTAAAATAAAATACTGGAAGGAAAACAGTGAGTATCCCCCTGCCCCCAACAAAGGAAGCAAGAACTGGCTCAGTAAAGGGGACGTCATCACGGACCCCTCAGCAATGCTGAAGAGAAAGGAATAAAATGGGAACAGCCTGAAAGGCGGAAGAGTTTAACTAACATTGCAGGGGACCTTTGTCCGATGGAACCTACAGTCTTGTGTAATGATTACAGAAGAGCTTTGTTTGTGGGGAAGGGTACTGCTTGAGAATATAGGAGTATGTTAAGTGTTTGTATGAAAACTTTCAGCTTAATTCCAGTTCCAGGTAATACTGAAAAAATCGTATAAGAAGTGTCCTGCTGGATCCATTGGTGCAAGGCAATGCAATGTCAGCACTTCAGGGTTGTGTTTACTTATTTATTAAATTTATATAATGCTTTTGCTCTTACAATGAACTCAGAGCAGCTGACATCCTCCTCCTCCTGCTCTCAATCCTATCACTACAACAGCCCTGTGAGGTAGGTTGGGCTGAGAGGCTGTGACTGGCCCAAAGCCACCCAGTTGGCTCCATAGCTGAGCGGGGACTCGAACCCAGATCCTCTGAGTCCCAGTCCCACGCTCTGAACCGCTACACCACACTGCCTCTCTAGTGTGAAAGGGCTGCCCGGGGCATTTCTGCCTGCCGTTCAACATGAGAGAGGCAAAGTGAAGGTCAGGAAAAAAACGGTGGGGCCAGGTGCGGGGGGGGGGGGGTGCACACCTGGGAAATGTACAGAGCCAAGAGCCATATCCAGGTGAAGTGTTTTCAATTCTGGTCAGGGCTGGCTTAGTGGAAATCATTTAATGGCTTCTCTTCCCATCTGAGGGACTGGGACCCAAACCTGGATTTTGTAGGTAGGAGCCCAATGTACTTTGGTGCCTAAGTCATAAATGTTAGGAAAAGAGCAGCTATCAGTTAAAAAAATGAGTCCTCATTTGCCACCCTTTCACAAACCCCCTAACATGCCTCGGGGAGGAGCTGTCCTTTGAGCTAGTAATCTCTGGCAAAAATGTCATTTGGTTTGATTTATTTAAGCCATTGCTATACTGGCTTTCCAGAAAAACAAATCAAGGTGGTTTGTTCATTTATTTATATCCCATCCTTTTCCCTTTCAAGGAACTCAAGGCACATAATTCTCCTCCTCCCCCTCCTCCTCCAGCCTTATCTCACAACAACCCTGCAAGGTAGGTGAGGCTAAGGACCAGAGAATGGCCCACCCAGTCAGCTCTGTGGCCAAGTGGCGACTAGAATTCAGCACTACACTGGCTCTCAAAAGTTTACCTCTGCAAAATTCAAAAAGCAAAACTCACACGCAAAGAAGGGAAGGGAAGGGAAGGGAAGGGAAGGGAAGGGAAGGGAGGAGAGGAGAGGAGAGGAGAGGAGAGGAGAGGAGAAAGGACGCTTCAGTGCCAGGTTTCCTGGTTGGAAGGAAGTGCTGGCAACTCTGCTGAGCAGACATGTCTGGACCAGACGTGACAAGAGGGTCACCTCCGCCTCTTCGAGTGCAGCCTGCAGCTCCATCTTCTCGGCCTCCAGCTGCTTCCGCACCTTCTCCACCTCGTGGGCGTTCTTGGCCCCCTCTCCCAACTGCTCGGTGAGGTCCGAGATCTCCTCTGCACAGGGGAGGAAGCCGACATTGGGCTCAGAGGCAGGCCGGGGGGTGGAGCGTGGGGCAGACCCCCTGGCTGCCCAGGCCGTGAAGCCAGAGGGTCTCCACCCCTCATGCCCGCACTCCCTTCGACTCACCCTGCAGGTTCTTGTTCTCCCTCCGCAGCGTGTCCAGGTGCTCCAGCGACTCCTCGTAGGCGTTCTTCAGCTTGAAGAGCTCCGTGCTGAGCGAGCGCGACTCCTTCTGCGAGCTCTCCAGCTCCGCCTGGGACTCCTCGAACTTCTGCTTCCACTCCGACAGGATCTAAGGAAGCCACCGCCAGGCAGGAAGCCGGTCAGATCAGAAGACCTCCCCCTCTCCCCTGCCCTCCTTCCCCGCCTCTGCTGTCCCCCTTTCCCCCAGGGGCGCCCGGCACCTTGTCGAAGTTCCTCTGCTTCTTGTCCAGGGCGGCGGCGGCCGCGTTGGAGCGCTCCACGTCCACCATGAGGTCTTCGATCTCGTTCTGCAGCCGGTGCTTGGTCTTCTCCAGCGAGGAGCACTTGGCGTTCACGGCCTCCACCGCCTCCTCGGCGTCCTGCAGCCGCTGCGCCAGCTTCTTCCTGGCACGAGAGGAGAGAGGAGAGAGCGAGGCCGTTACCCTCCTGCAGGCGCAGGCCGCGGCTTCCTCCGCCTGCCTGCAGCCGGGGTGCGCACCCTCTCTCTGTCCGAGGGCCAGATTCCCTCGGGGAGCCGCATAACCGTGGGGCTAAACGCGCCAGGCTATTTAATCCTAAAGCTCTTGATGCCGGCCGCGAGGCATTTCGGCTACGCGAGGGCGGAGAAGACTGCACTAAAGTCGGGGAGATGCCAAATGTATGGGGAAAAGGGGGGGCTGCTGGGGGAGGTGGGCGGGGCTATGCAGGGAACCCATTTTGGTCCCGCGGTCCTGTCTATGGGGCAGGGCCTCTCCTGACAGCAAAGGACAAGGATGCCATCCCCCAGGGGCTCCAGGAGGGCTCCCCGTGCTTAGCCAGGGGCCACTGGTGTGCGAATGGGTCAGCGTGTGGGGTCAGCAAGGAGGAGTGTGGCCAGGGAGTGACCCCGGGGGTCTGGGAGGATGCCTCGGCACCGTGCCTCTCAGGCCCACCTCCTTTCACGCCTCGAGGGCCACAGAGGTCTCCCCCTGTCCCCAGTGACTCAGGCCAGCCTCCCCTCGAGGTCACCTCTCCTACGCACCTACCTTCGTGCCTTTTATGGGGATTTCTCCTCCGACCAACAAGCTTTTCGCTCGTCTTATACACTGCCATTTTGAAATATAACCCGAGCCAAAAGCTTCGCCGTCAGAGGAACCACCTCTCTGGAGAGAAGTCCGAGGGGCCGGGGGTGGCGGGGAAGGTCAGGGACGAATATTCAGATGGGGAACTGGGCACCAGAGAGGCAGGTGCCGAGTGCGCGAGGACGAAGAGAGGGTGGTACCAACCCCATGGCAGGCCCCAAACCGGGGCCCTAGGGCTGCCCTGGGCCCCACATGCCAACCTCTGAGTGTATTTAGGAGGAAGAATCACCAGGGAACCCCATTCTCCTGACACTACGTATAGATAATAAGAACAATTATGCAATTATTTATTTAGGAACGATTTTAGCATTTATAATAATCTAATTAAAATCACAGAGCACAGAACAGACCAAGAGAGGTCATGAGTTAAACTTGGTCGTCCGCATGAAGGGGCAGGTTCGGTTCTTTGGTCCAAACACCTTGGCAGAGGCAACTAGCCCCAGACGGCGCCTGGGCTTGAGGAGCTGGGCTTGGGTCCTCCAGCCAAGCGCCCGGCCCCGGAAGCCCCCGGAGCCGGTTCCAGCGAGAGGCGAGTCCTCGGCCCCTCACTCACTTGGCCTCCTCCAGCTCCTCCGTCCTCTGGATGGCGTCGGTCTCGTACTTGGTCCTCCACTGCGCCACCTCGGAGTTGGCCTTGGAGAGGTGGCGCTGCAGCTCCGCCTTGGCCTCCGTCTCCTCCTCGTACTGCTCCCGCAGGAGGTCGCAGTCATGGCGGGCCGACTGGAGCACGTGGGCCAAGGCGTTCTTGGCCTGAGCGAGGAGGAACAGGCGTGAGCCGGGCCCTCCACTCAGCCCTGTCCTTCACGGCCGCCTGCCCTCCGGTTCCCAGCCCGGCCCGACCCTGCCAGCGAAGGCTCGCGCTACCTTGGCCTCCTCTTCCAGCTGCCTCTTCAGGTCGTCCATCTGTTGCGTGTAGGACTGCTTCCCCCGCGTGAGCTGAGAGATGAGCGCCTCCTTCTCTTCTAGCTGCCGGGCGAGTTCTCCTGGGGACCCAAAAGAGGGATGGCTCAGCGCCAGGAGCGGGCGCATCCTTCCATCTGCCGGCCACCCTCTCCGTCTTTGGGGAGGGTTGCCTTTGGGAACGGCTCCGTGAAAAAGGATGGAAGGAAGGAAGGAAGGAAGGAAGGAAGGAAGGAAGGAAGGAAGGAAGGAAACAGGAAGAGGCACCGTTTTCCGTCTGAAGCTTGGCCCTCTGAGTGTTGGTGTCATTGAGGCTTCGCTGGGTTTCCTCTAGCTTGGCCCGGTAATCGGCGGACTGGTCCTCTATGGTGCGGCACATTTTCTCCAGGTTCACCTGCCAGCAAAGAATGCAAGGATAAAAATACCGAGAAGGCTCAAGAGGACTGGGGACAACGCCGCAGGTTGACCAGGGAGTCCCGCAGGGGGCTAGACCAAAGCGCTGGGCTGGGTTTTGTTGGTGCACTAAGAGCTTCTTAATCTGAAGCATCCAAGTTTTGGGGGCCAAACCAAGAGACCCACTGGAAGGCTGAGCTCTTCAGGGCATTGTGCCTCTGCTACGGGATATGCTCCAGACGTGTTGGACTACAGCTCCCAGAATGCACAGCCGGCTATGCTCAGGGTTGCAGTCCAGCACATCTGGAGGGCATTAGCTGGGGGAAAGTCGCCACCGGGCAGCCTCACTTCCACTTCCAGGGATGCCCTCCACAACAGTATATTAGCATATATAACTCCACCCCCTTCGCTGGCTCCTCCCCTCCTTCCCCATCAATATGGCACCTTGGACTTCATCAGCTGCTCCATGTTGGAGGCCACGTCGTCCAGCTCCAGCTTCAGCTCGCTCTTCTCCTTCTCCAGCTTCTGCTTCACACGCTGCAGGTTGTCGATCTGCTCGCCCAGCTCCGCCGCGGAGTCGGCGTGCTTCTTGCGGAGCGTGGCCGCTGTGGCCTCGTGGTGGAGCGTCGCCTCCTCCAGGTCGCGCCGCATCTTCTGGAACTCGGCCTCCCGCTTCTTGTTGAGCTCGACCTGCACCGAGGTGGCGCCCCCGGCCTCCTCCAGGCGCTCGCTGATTTCCTCCAGCTCCCGCGAGAGCTCGGCACGCTGCTTCTCCACCTTGGCCCGGGACGTGCGCTCGGCCTCCAGCTCTTCTTCCAGCTCTTCGATCCGTGCCTGCAGCGCATGGAAAGAGAGCGCCTTTCCATTCTCTTTCCAGCATGCCAAGCTTTTGCGATCTCTGCGACCTGCTGAGGGGCGGTTCGACCTTCCTTGGGTTCCCTCCAACTCCGTGACCAAAGTTCTGGAGAACTTCGGAGAACGTCGGCACATGGCCTGTTGGATCTCCGGGGCAGAACTCTGGCACTGCCGCAGCCATGCTTAGGGCTGGTGTTGAGGGGCAGCACAGCTGGGGGCCCATTGGGGGCCCACACGACACCCAGGGCCAGCGGACAAAGCCTCCAGACTCGTTTCACCTCTTCCCCGTCGCATCCCGCCCGTCCACCTGCCCCTCGCTCTGGCTTACAGCCCCGGGAGAGCAGGAGGGCAGCGGCGTGGGAGACGGCTGCGATGAGGCGAAGAGGAAAGGGTGCCTCATGCTCACGGGCTGCGAGGAGGGAGACCCAGCGCAGGGACGCGGGCATCAGGACCACTTGCCAAAGGCCCCAGAAAGGGGCCGGCAGAGGCGACCGATCCAGAACCAGCAGTCATTTGCCGGGTTGAAAACAGAAGCCCCGAGGCGCGGGAGAGAGCCGGGCGAATGCCAGAGCCGAGCGCTGCCCTAGGGTGGGAATTCCCAGGGCAGAGAGAATTCCAGAGTCTGGGATTGTTCTGCCACTGTGGATGGCCAGCCTGGAGCAAAGGTGCTTCCTCACCCCACCCCGCCCCACCCCACGCCACCCCGCCCCAGCCCCGACCTGAAGCTCCTTCAGTTTCTTCTGCAGCTGCACGGCGAGGGCCTGCTCATCCTCAATCTTGCTGTTCTGCTGGTTGATATCAAACTCCTTCCTGCAAGAGGAATTTGGGGAAGCAAACCCCCCCTTTCTGTTCTGCGGGATTTCCATCTCGCTCCGCTTCCGCTCGGGGCCTGGACCTCCCCACCAGCCTCGGGGGAGACCTCCGGGCCTTGCCGTGTTAGGGCCGGCATCCTCCGGCAGCCCCTGCCCTCGGAGTCCCCGTCCCCAGCCAGTGTTTCGGCAGCCAGGAGCTGCCCCTCTGTCCTGCGGCTGCGGCAGGGAAAACCAGCGGCGAAGACTGCTCTGCTGGTTTGCCGGGACGAGTGTCCCCTTCCGCCCACTCCGCATCAGCCTCCCAGCCTGAGTGCCCCCTCCCCTCGTCCTTCGGGGCCTCCTGGTGCCAACCCTCCACCCCAGCCCAACCCAACCCATAACTGGGGCGCCCAGGAGGGCGATGGGGCAAGGGGCCCTCTCCTACTTTTTCAGCTTCTCCTCCAGCTGCTGCTTGTCATTCTCCAGGTCCATGATGTTCTCCTGAGTCAGCTTCAAGTCTCCCTCCAGCTTCCTCTTGGCCCGTTCCAGATCCATCCGGATCTTCCTCTCCTGTTCCAGAGAGCCTTCTAACTGTCTCGGATGGGACATGGGAAGAAGGACGAAAGCGGAGAACCAGAGGATTAGCAGATGGCACGGAGTGTCTGTTCAGCAGCTGGTGCTTTGGCTTGAGGTCTGATGATGCCGGGTGGCGGCGGGGGGGGGGGGTGACCCAGTGATGTGAGGGGCATGCCCTTGCCGATAGGCATACTTCAGCTTGTGGAGGCCCAGCAGTGGGGAGATGCAACCCCACACCTGATCCCATGCCTTCCTTGGTGCCGTACTAGATTTCGACATCTTCGTGGCAGATAAAACTTCAGCCAGGCCTTGCATAGGGCAGACAATGGCAGCTCCCAGATGTTGCTGAATTGCAAGCCCCATCGCCCTGGCCCTTGGGGGACTGTAGTCCAGGAGCCCTGGGTGGAGGGGACATTCACAAGGGTGGAAGCTACTGAACGAGATGGTCCAAGGGGCAAAGGGCCGCTTGGTGAGCTCGCGTTCCCAAGGACCCCGGGCTCCGTCCACGGACTCACGTCGTCGGCCTGCTGCTCCAGCTTAAGCTTGGCTTTGGTGAGCGTGTTCACTTTGTCCTCCTCCACCTGGAGGTCGTCCAGGGCCTGCTGGTGGGCCTCTTGCAGGGACTTCTTCTCTTTGCTAAGCTTGGCGATGATCTCGTCCAGGCCGGCCATTTCCTCCGTGAGGTTCTTCACCTGCAGGAAGAGCAAACCTCCAAGCCCTGAGTAGCTGTGGGGTGAAACGCCTTGAACATACACAGGTATGGAGACCCAGGTCTGCCTCCTCCAAGCTGGAGCCCTTCTGTTGTATTGGAAGGCCACTTCCAGCATCCCCCAGAAGGTGGGAGAGCACCATCCGGAGCAGGATCGTGGTGTGAATCTAAGAGTGAGGGTGGAGGGATCTCATTCCTGAGCATGTGTCCTGCCCCACCAGCTCATGGCCCCACCATGCAGCCCTGAGGATTTCCACTGGGCCAATGGAGCCCCCAAAACTTGCCCACCCATGTCAACACGTCATCGCTTCTCCCACCAACGTGAGCCGGAGTCGTGCCCGGCACTGGGCGCCCACCTTGTTCTCCGTGGCGTGTTTCTCCTTCTCCACCTTCGCTAGGGTCAGCTCCAGGTCGTCAATGTCCTTCTTGAGCTCCGAACACTCGTCCTCCAGCTTCCGCTTCTTGGCTGTCAGCTCGGCGTTCATCTCCTCCTCATCCTCCATCCGTTCGGTCAGCTCTTTCACCTTGGCCTCCAGCTGGATTTTGTTCTTGATCAGCTGGTCGCAGCGCTCTTCTGCATCGTTCAGATTGTCTTGCTCCTGCAGTGGGAAGCGAAGGGGGAGAAAAGACGGGAAGAGAGGCCACTTCAGCCTTCTCCAGCCTAGAGGCCTTCAGAAGCGTTGGTCTGCGTCTCAGAAGACCAGGGTGCACGTGGAGAAGAATATGAGGGCAAGAGGATGCTCACAGCCTGGACTTGCAGCTGGAGGTCATTCTTCTCTTGCAAGAGAGACACCATCTTTTCCTCCAGCTCCTTTCTCCGCGTCTCCGATTTCTCCAGAGCCTCTTTCAACCTCCCAAATTCCTCTTTCATGGTCTGTGGAGAACACAAAATAAGACTAGAACTGTTCAGCCATGCTCGCTTCCAAAGGGAAGGGGATGGTCAGTTTATAAAGTCTGCAGTTTTGAGGGGAAAAGCTGTTCCTAGATTTCCCCCCACAGGCTGCAGGTGTGAGGGCATCCGTGTGTTTTCCACATGAGAAAGAAATTAAAATCCCTGTTTGTAAAAACGAAAAAAACCCCAATATTTCTGGACACCTGGCCTTCTTTCCACTATGCAATTTGTGTTTGTGCATTGAGTGTATCCATGTTGAATGAACGTCCATATTCTTCTCTAATGAACTTCCAAAACGGCCCAAGTCTTCTGTTTCTTCATACAACTTCTTTAGCCTCACTCTTTCCCCTTCCTGGTGGATTGTTTGGTGATTTCCAAGCGTTTGTGCTTTTTTGTGTGTGCCTGCGTCTGATTAAATAACAACCTTTGGAAGGTTTTGTCTTCCCTATTGGGATGGAGAAGAATTTCATTTACTTAATATTTAAGTGAACCATCTTTTCTTTTTTGCATTGCCTAGGCTGTGGGATGCACAGTTCTCCAAATTTTGGGATGCAGTTCTCGTTTAAAGTGTCTACTTGGGAAGACTGCATCCAAAAATATGTACGTTCAGGAAAGCTGTGTAGAAAAAGGCATATCTTAGAGAGATTTGCATAAAAACACATATTCAGGGAAATCACATGGAAAGATGTATGCAAATATTAATGTTTTAAAAAAATTGCAGGTTGATGTGGCCACCGGACAGTGTGACCTTTCCGACTTTTTAAGAATTAACTGTAGTGAAAGCTAGAGATGGCTGTCTTTAGAAATGTTGTCTTTTTAGTTCATTACAAGACAATCCCATAATAGGTACTTACCTAGGCGTGATCCTATTTGAACTTGAGAGAGCTTACTCCTGAGTAGACAATGCAATTGCACTGTTCGAAGCAGCATTTTAAGTGCACTGCTGAAGCATTTCAGCCCAGCCTTTGCTGCCTTTCAGATTGTTTGGACTAAAACTCCCCCCAAACAACTTCGCTGCTAGAAGAGGGAGGCCGAAAGTCAGAACCAAATCAATTAGAGGCTGCAGCCGTGCAGAATTCAGCAGTCGGGATGCTAACTGGTGCAATAGCTTTGCACAGATCATATGTGCCAAAAGACCTGCAACTGGCTGCCTATTAGCTATTTTTGGAGTGGTGATATTGACATTCAAAATCCTAAACAACTTGGGACCAGGATGCCTAAATTTCCCCATATATACCCAGCCCACTGTACAGATCTGCAGAGCAGCTCTTGCTGGTCATTCCGAGACTGACAGAATGCCGCCAGCGATATCCTGACAGCAGGACCTTCTCAGTGCCAGCACCCACCCCTGCAAAAGTTCAGCTTGGAAGCAGAGAATGTAGTGCGTTTCAAACGCCTCTTGAAAATTCCCTTGCTCACCAGGCCTTCTCCGGCTTGGAAATCATTACACGGCCCAACTGATTGCTTTTTGGGCATCTTTTCTGTATTGTCGGTTCAGTTTTTCAGTTGTTCATAGTGAGTTTAAAATATATTTGTTTTGTTATACTTGAAAATGTTTCTAAATATTATTTTAATGTGTGCATGTGAAGCCCTTGTTTAATACTAAGCAGTATATAAATATTCACAATAAATGGGTACATAATTTTTGGTCTTTGCTGCCCACCTGCATCTCCTTCTCCGTCTCTGCACTCTTCAGCAAGGGCTTGATCTTGAAGAACAGCTTCATCCAAGGCCAGTTCTTCACCCCCATGAAGGCACGGATGTTCCACTGGATCACAAGCAGGGCATCCCTGGAGAAGCAGAGAGGAAGAGGAAGGCCGTGTGACCCTGGAGGAAGCAAACCTGCCAAACTCGTCTCCGTGTCTTCCAGCGCGTCCTGTTTCCTTAGCGACGAGTGGTGATTTGGATCCACACTGATCCTTGCAAAGAGCCTGGAATCAACCTCCCACAACCAGGACCCCAAAAATGCGCTGGACAGCTGCAACCTCCATTATTCCATAGAATATTCAAGTCCTATGGAAGGACGGGCTGGCTGGCTGGGGATGGTGGGAGTCGCATCCTCACATTTGCTGTGAAAGAACGGCACCAAAAGGAAGGTTCTTCATATCCATTACTATGTCTTGTGATCCATCCATTTAATATCTGACTATCTAGCTATCTATCTGGCAATCTCTTTTGACTCTAAAGAGCAGCAAAGACAAGAGCACAAGTTTTCTTACAGTGGAAATCAGGAAACGTAAAAACAAGGCAGCAAACAAATCCAATCCCAGATTTACAGTGCAACCAGAGCCTGGTGGAATGAAAAGGGCCGATGGCTCATTTCGGGTTCATGCACTTAACACAGGCACGAGGGGCCAGACCAAGCATCCGTGTCGTCCGGCTGTCCCTGTTCGGCTGGCCAGATGTCCCAGATGGGGCACAAGGGCAGCTGTGGATCCCGCCAGGTCTTTGCCTCCCACTTGGTGACATTCCACCTTATTTATTTATTTATATTGCGATTTATATCCTGCCTTTTTCCTACAAAGGGCTCAAGGCAGCTTACATCATCTCTCCTCCTCCATCTTATCCCCACAACAACAACCCTGTGAGGTAGGCTGGGCTGAGAGGCTGTGACTGGCCCAAAGCCACCCAGTTGGCTCCATGGCTGAGCAGAGACTCGAACCCAGATCGCCTGAGTCTCAGTCCCGTGCTCTAACCACTACGCCACACTGCCTCTCCCCCTTTGCAATTGACTGGGTTCAGACAATGCGACAAGCCCTGGAGCGGTTTTACCATTGCTGGTCAGCTGCGGTGTCTGAATCCAGGCAAGGATTTTCACCGGGGCAAGTTTGGTCTTTGAAACCACGAGAGGAAACAGCAGCTGGTTCCATGGTTTCTCTACACCAGTGATGGCAAACCTTTTAAAGACCGAGAGCCCAAACGGCAACCCAAAACCCACTTATTAATCGTACTGTGCCAAACTACAATAAAACCTGAAAACTGATGTTTCCGTTCAGAAAGAACTACTCACAACCAGTAGAAGCATACACACCCACACACACCCATCCTTGGCAGCGCACTGACCGGACAGGCAAAACCTCAGATGAGCTGCCGCTAATGAGACACGTGAATGCCTGGGGACGCGACTCCTTTCCAAGCATGCGCATGGCTCCTGTGGGCGCTATCATCCGATGCTCAGCTGCTGCAGAGATGCTGGGGCGACTTGGCTCATGGGCTGATAGAAAGGGCTCTGTGTGCCTGCGGTGGCTCTCGTGCGAGAGGGTTGTCACCACTGTCCTAACCCTACCCTGGTGCGCACCCCTAACCCTAATAGAGGGCTAAAGTTCCATTGGAAAGAGGGCGATTTTGAAAAAGCCTTCCTTGAGTAGCTTTTTCTGCCC